CCCTCCCCCTCCCCCCAAAACAAAAATATTTTTAAAAAACCATGTTTGCCACCAGAGATGTGACATTAATAATAATAGAAAACAACCATATGTAACTGCACTGACTAACTTACAAGGTTTGCAAGACAGTTATGAGGATTTCCATATGTTCGATTTAATGCATCTGTGATAGCAGTTACAAAGCAAGAAGCTGAAAAGCCACTTGTCTCTCGGTCACGGGTACCATTTAACAGAAGCACCTAGTATCAGGACAAACTGAATCAACTCAACATGTAACTTGACATGGAAAATAAATAATGCATTTGTTAATGTCTATCTATAAGACGACCCTGGACTACGTCAGAAAACTTTGCAACAGTCAAAGAAGAAACAATATGAAGACTTGTACAATTGGAACTTGTATCATGTAACATGTAACTTAAAAGAGTGATGAATAGGTACCTTGGGGCAGGACCTTGAAGATATAATCTCCCCAACGCCAATTAATACCTAAACAATGAGGCATAACAAATTAAAAATATGAATATACAGGTTTCTTACATGTCCAATCAAGAATTATCAGCTGGGCTCTAGAATCTTCTGAAAAAAGAAGAAGCAAATTCTAGTAAAATAAATAAGAAAATACAGCATATTTAATACGGGAAGTAATGTTACCAGTGATGGGCAAATAGAAGTAAAGAGGGATCCCATAGCATAAACTACGCAATCCACATTACGTAACTGATCCAAGACAGATGGGTTTGCAGCAGGGAAGACCTAATCATTGTGAAAACCATTGTTATGAGTTCTGATTTCAGGAACTGCAGAAGCATATGCATGGAATATGGAAGCATTTTAATCATCAGAAAAATGGGAGCCATGTACCAGTATTTTTTTCATAAGATGAGAAAATTAAAATTTTAAGGGTAGCGCCTGATTAAATTTTATAATGTTAAATACCTTGCAATATCAGAGAAAGGATAATGATTTAACAAAAGACTCCATTAGTGGCCCTTTATTTAAGTATACCAATAAAATCAACAAGGACAACTTTAGGGCATTACATGAAACTGATAAGAAAAGAAAAATATATGAAGTATCATTCACCTCATGCAGCAAGTTTTGGCCCTCACTTGACATGTAGAATACCCGCTTTATTCTCGAAGGAAGTGCTGGAAATGAAGAGCTTTCCTGTCCACAGTAAGCCATCACTTTCAATAAATGAGAAGTTCTTTACTATAATCCTGCCTCTAGAATTTGAGTGAAATGCAAAAATCAATCAGCCCTTAAATGTCTTTCCCAGTCTTAACACGATATGATGATAATGTGAATAGATCTTGGCTGGGTAAAATTACTAGAACCAATTAGAACGCCCAAACCCAATCAACTATTGTTGGTCAGAAACCCAAAGTGGAATTGAAACACCATCAAGATTTTAGTAAATGACTTTTATAAAACAATACCAAGAAATTGAATTAATAGTAGTGACATCATTTTCTATTTCGGGACACAACCAAATTCTCTCTCTTCAAACATGCACCATTACCTCACCAACAACACCATTACTACCATAGCATGCACCCACCACATTGACACCATCGAATCTCTCAAAACCACTATATGTTTTTTTATAAGGAATGAAACATTATTTTAATCCATGTCATGTGTTCTCAGGAAAAAACTTGAACTATCAGAATACTTCTGACGGAGAACCTATAGATTGAGACTTCCAGATCAAGAAAACCATATCAGCATACCTTATTGACAGGGTCCATATATCCCTTGGTTGGATGAGAAATTTCGTTCTGGCCTCGTATTATAGTTCCATCCTAGGGGGCACAATAAGGAATTCAGCATAATCAAGTATTGGCAGAATCTTGCAAACTATACTAGTTACATGAATTGATGATGATGGGAAAAGAAAAGAATACAACAAAGGTTTGAATCATTTTCATAAGGAGCATATAATTGTTATGTTACATATCTTCTGCAATTTACATAAATGAGAAGGTGCCAGTAGCATGGTTGGTAAAGTCTCTTAGCCAGACCTTAAATTCAACTTATAACGCAATTTCGACTATGGTTTGAAAGTACACATGTATCTTGCATTGCACCAGAACAATTAGTAAACCAATACCATAGCATAAAGTATATGCATGCATATCTCAGGGCACATGAATTGTATGTCAACAATCATACCCATAATTCACATCCTAATGTAAGCCTGTCGTTAGTAGAAATCACTGGGAGGACCAGACTCTCTGAGGGGATATCTGACACACGAGAAAACAAAAATATTGCAGCATCTAAGGACTGAAAAAATGTGCGTGCTCCTGCGAAGAAGAAATTACCAATGCTGCAGAAATTATGAAATCAGTTAAGCAAAGAAATAATATTATCATGAAAGATAATTATTGTAGTCCATCTTTCAAACATTTATTAGTTAAAGAAAGTGGATTACTGAATTTCAATTAAGCACCATAATGAAACAAAACAGAAATACACCAAGTCACAGCTATTGTGAAGATTTCACACCTGCCATTACTGAAGCAAAATGATTCATCAGATCGCCGGAGAATCTGCATTTGAAAAAGGCAATTGAAGAAGTTCAGAAGAGTTCAACAGCAGTTCGAAATCAGAAGACATATAAATCAAATTAATAGAGGCAATATAGCATTGCCAACCCGATTACTAACCTGATTCTGAAAATAAACTAGAAAAGCTCGAATGGTTTCCCTGTAGGGTTTTGATACTCCCGTCCATAGCGAATTTTCTCCTTCCACAATATCATACCTGTCAAATTCTCAACTCAGCAGACTGTTACTCAATACCCCACCATAGTAACACCTAGCACGTAAATGAGAATAATTTAGGACATAGAATAACATACCACCTAGAAATGACAAATACAAAAGAAAGTAGGCAGGACCCCAATACATTGTTGAAAATCAGAAGAAAAGTCCATAAACATCATCATACTTCACTATTTGCTCAACATTTTTGCCTAACATCAGTTCTAATGCAGAACACTGCTATAGAATTTCCATAAATAGTAGTAAAAGCAAAAAAAACGAAGGTAGCAAAACATTACCATTCAGATTTGGCTTGACGCGAATCAAGAGGTAAACGGTGACCAAGCAATCTCCGGACTGCCACAGCCTCAGAAGAGCTCTTATCAGCCAATCTCAAACATCTGGACCGTATATCTCCAACAGCAGGACCACCTAATACACAACCACGAACAATGAGAAAAAAAAACCAGATACGAAGAAATTGAAAAGGAAGAGAGAAGTTCATTACCGAGAACGCGAACAATCTCAGCCGTACTTCCTCCATCGTCGGAAACAGGAAGGACGTGAGCTACGCGAGTAGTGAAATTCTTGAGCTCCTCAACGACGCCGTTGAACGCAGTCCCACCTGCAATTACGAAAATAGAAGAGGTCAGCTTTTTTCCTTTTCCTGGAATTTTCTATTGCATTTGTTGATTAACGAGGCGGAGAGGGACCTGAGAAGACGAGCAAGGAGGGCATGACAGGGCTAGGGTTAGGGATGGAGGAGAAGGAGTAGCAACGGAAATGTTTAGGGTTTTGGGAGCGAAGGGTAGACATGGAATGAGATCTCCAAGGAAATTGGGGGAAACTGAGAGTGAGAAGCAGAGAGGGAAAGCGAGAGGTACATGGGCCCAACCAACAGTCCGCCATATTCCCGCGTCTTTCCTACCGCACCTTCTCTTTTTTTCTTTTCTTTCCGCTTTTTTTAGGGAAATCTCTTCTTCCCATCAATCTTTTTCCTTTTTTCAGGCCAAAAAATAAAATATATTTTTCCATTCTGACAAAAAACAGAGTATCTTTTTTCACCCCAAAAAAAAAAACAGAGTAACTTTGTGAGTGGAGTATAGCTCACTATGTGAGTGTCGTGTGGCCATAGGTTCTAAACTCCCATGCACCATGAAGTTTGTGTGTAAAACTCCCCCTCCTCCAATCGCGGGAGAGCATATTTTCTCTTGTTTTTCTTTATATAATGTGGTATAGTAATGTTGTCTTCCTATCATTTTTCTAACTTAACCGTTCTCGTTTATAATATTTAGTATTGTTCTAGATTGACATGCAAGCAACAATTATATATATATCATTATCGCCCCATAATTCACAATAAATTTGCAGTTTATTTTCGTCATTTTTTAGGGTGATATTCTAAATCATTCTAAGGTATGAGGAGGAGATTTGAACTCCGTTTTAAGGGGCTGACACACTATATTGATCAACTAACCTAACCACATTTGCATTTCCATCGCACTTTGAATTATCGACAAATGCTATTGTGGATACCAAATATCATTAATCTAGTCATAAAATTAACTGATTTATTAATTTATGTTAGGATGTTGGGTGTGAGAGTTTAATTTAAATATGGTGGGTTTGGTTTTAACATAAAGAAAACAAAAAAACTTTGGTGGGATGTTCATATCAGGATGCAAGCTCAACCAACCAAAGCCTATAACATGCAAGAAGCTCTATGTCCACGAAAATGAATTTTTGTAGGATGTTCATGTTCATCTCACGGTGAGAGAGAGACCAACTTTATACAAAGCATTTTTGGCTGCTCTGCATAAAACTCAACCAAAATGAGCACATTTAAAACAAATTCTGAACCAATGTGTTGTTTTCATTCATAAATAAATAAATAAAACAAATTAAAATTGTTTGACAGACAAAAACGTGCACCGCATCTTTCTTTCTTTATTTATTTATTTTCAATAAAATAAAATGAAATTATGGTTTATTGAATGAAAAATCAGCTAAAACTAAAAGTATGAAGAACACAAGCGCATAAGGCCAAATCTTTGACAAACAAAACCCATAAAACCCCAAATAGAAATGAATATTTTAAAAAATAAATATTAATTTTGTATTTAATCTTCAATCAGTTGAATCTAGGCAAAGAGCCAAACACCAAGTTAGTACAATAATACTAAATAAAATGACTGGGACTTTTCTGTGACAGAGGGCTGATGTGGAAAGTAAGGAAGGACCACCGATGACAAGGCAAGACCCTCAATGAATGTCCTCTTTAAAGAAAGTCTTCCAAATATATTATATTATTAGCATTTTCTGAAGCAAAGTTTTGGTTTTTGCTTTTGTGTTTGTTTATTTATTTTATGGCCGGAATCTGATGTATGTTTTTGAAGGGCAAGTTGTTGAAGGCAACTCAATATTGGCCCCTGCATGTATGTGGACTTTTGAGCTTTGCCAAAAGGAAAAAAAGAGTTTATGCAAACAAAAAAGGTAATTGACAATTCGCGTTATATTATATAGGTTTTTATAAATAAACCCATTTTAACATGATATATTATTATATATAAAAATATCGCTTTTATTTTCTTTTACGTTTTGTTGATGAGCTGCCAACTTTGAATATCTTAACCTTCCTAAAGACAATAATGGCAATATTCTGTATTTTAAGTCTTAACAGCAAAACCTCGTTGACCCAAAAAGAAAAACATGCACCAGAAACTTATTACACAATTTCATTTATTTAATTTTTATTTATCACATAAATCATACATTGAAACAACGTCGTTTTAGACATATCAACGCGCAAAAATATATGTAGTAATTTTGTTCATATGCAAAATACGAACAGAGGATTACCGTTCATTTGTATACTTTTTCATCTCAAGAAATTTTATATTTTGCAACAAAATAATTGTATAAAAAAGTTTGGCATTTTTCATGTATTATTATATATGTTAAAAATTATTGCTATCAATATGATAGTGGATTAAAAAATTATTGCTAGCAATATATATATGGTGGGACTTGGTTACTCCTCCGTCTCAAACTCCACAAAACATTTGTTCTCTTCTCATCCCTTCTCTGCTCCTTAAAAAGACGTTTTCTTCCAAAACTCTCCGTGAACCAGTAGCCTTTGACTCTCTGTCTGCCTTTCTTCTTCATCTGCATCGAAAACCCAACAAAGTTTTCACCTTTCACGTTATTAGCAATCTCTTTCCCGATAACCCAGTTCCCAAAACTCTCTATTTCACTCTGCTTTTCGCTTTTTGAAATCCTCGACTTCGAGACCATGAAGAAGAAAATGTGGATGTTTTCTCATTGATCACCTCCTCCAAACCCCCAAAGCTTGTCTTTTGCGTAATGGAAGGTATGACCAAACCCACAAGAAGTGTCACTGCCACCACCACAGCCACCATAATCAACACCTTGCTAAGCAACAAAGCTGGTTCTCAAAGCTTCCCTCTCCCAAAGCTCTCTTTTTGGTTTGCCCCAACTACTCGCCCTCCTGGTCTGCTCTTCTCCAGCTTTGGTTCATAGGTTTGTGTATCGAAATACTTAGAAAACACATATGGATTTTTACAGTTTTAACTCCAACTCTTCATTTAGGTCTGAATACTCGAGCCTCTTCGACCCTTTTACGCATGGCTCAAGTGGGTTTGGTGGGGCTCTGCGAGGAGGTGGGTCTGTTTTGCCTCACTCTCTGGTTTTGGATAGTGAGAAAGGTGAGCTTGTTAAGGCTCCAGCGAGAGTGGGAAAGAAAGGGGTATCAGAGGCAAAGGCTTTGGCGGCTTTGAAGAATCACAGTGAGGCTGAGAGGAGGAGAAGAGAGAGAATTAATGCACATCTCTCTACGCTTCGTGGTCTCGTGCCCTGCACTGAAAAGGTAAAGTAATTTTCATGTAGGTTGCTGTCATATTATGTTAATTGGTACTAGTAAGTTTCAATCATACTGGTTGATTATACTTGGGATTGTTGGATTCTTGTTATAGCTTATTAAGTTTTAACTGGTTATTAGATACTAGTCATTGGAAAACATTACTAGTAAGAAACTGGTCTTACCTTAAATTTGAAATTCTTTATCGAAAAGTTATTCGACATCTTTTTGCTGACTGTAAAGTAGTAACTTACCATATGAAACTTAGATTCTTTGATTTTCTAGGCCCTTAATCAGACCATAAGTGGAAAGAGAATTGTACATCTCAATTGAAGATTAACTTCGAACAGCTATTTGGCCTACTTGACCAAATATTTCGAATATGAAACTTTTGGCTTAAATTGATATGATCTTCCTATTTTGTGGCAATTAGGGGTTGATCAGAATATGACAACCGGGCAGAGCTGAGAGTGTTTTGCTTTTAACAGTCATTATATTCTGTGCCAAAAAGCAAACATGTTTAAACAAATATTTGGGGTGCTATGAGAATTCTGTTGAAGAGTTATTGAATTGAATACATAGATTCTGAACTCTAATGAAGCTTTTCTCTATCAGGAATCTTGTTCTAATATATTTTTATGGATCCTGTATTCAATTTTGCTCCAAGAAGCTTAAGGTGATCATTATGAAATACCCCTTCTAGTGATATGCTGTCATTATCGAGTTATGAAATCATGAAAGAGAAGATCATTCGTTCTTTAGTGCACATCATTCAAATTAACAAAGTTTTTCATTACATTATTTGTGCCTTTGGAGAGTCAACTCTTGTATGGAAGTTACAAAAGTCAACTCTAGATATGTTAAATAATTTGAAAAGTAAACTTCTTCCATACTTAGAGAGCTTCAAAAACATCTGGAAAATGAATCTGCTCAACTCATGGATATGTTAAATTATTTGAAAAGGTAAACATCTAAAATACTCAGAGCTTCAAAACCATCTGTAAAATGAATCTGCTGTAAATGTCTAGGTGCACTTTGGATTTTCATTTTTCAATTAAATTAAGAAATCAAGCATTAGGGGTGGGGTGGATTTTCAACCTGTTAGATACAGCACACTACGCAATATGTTGGAAGGAAAAGTAGAAATGGTTTTTTGTTGGCAGAGAAACTCTGACTTTAGTTCATAAATCTGCTAAGTCAAATGCACCTAGAACATATTATAATTAAGTAAGCTGAACAGTGTTTCACGCTAACTTCATCTTATTTATTAATTTTATATGTCTGTGGTTGTTTAACACTAAGTGTATATATGGGATGCTTTGCTGTCAATGGCCTCAGTCTTTAGCAGACCATTCTATGTGTTTTGGGAAATACTGATGATTATGATTGGATGATGGGGGTACAGCGCCAGCTGTGTAGTAGATGCCAACATAAGGTCTACATCAGGACTATAATTTATGGCTTAGATGTGTCTTGCTCAACCGTTCAATTAAGATATTATATCATATTTGGGGCGGTAAGCAAGAAAATATGTATGGGGAAAGAAGAACCACTAAATTTTTTATGTTCAAGCTTCAGAGAGTATCTTTTTTAATAAAAATAATTTTTTTAATCACACATTTCTTTGCTTATTGTGTCATCTACCCCGCTTTCTAAGTCGAAGCAAGTTGGATGACTAGCTCTGTATTTCCTGGACTAAGTCTATCATCTGATAACTTATGAGCAAGGTTTTTCTCATGCTACTATTTATTAAATATTAAGTCTACCTAGGTGAGCTTGGAAGTATGTGGAAACTTGTATTGAAATTGTTAGGTAGCAGGGGAGGCCCTGGGAACAGGCGGGCAAGGCGGCCGCCTAGGGCCTCCAAATTGGGAAGGGCCCCAATTTGTATAATGACTAAGTTAACTGGGTTTATGCTATTGACAAAGAAGACATCATGCTGATGTTAGTAACCTTACCAGCCAATGGATTGGCCTTGACTTGTTGTGAATGACCCTTAATATGTATATTATATATGCATCATGTATTTGTGTGTGCATGTCTATGTAAGCATATTGGAGAAGCTATGGTGTTGGCTGTTGATGGCAACTGATTTAAGTCTTTAACCTTGAC